GGTCCTTACAGTGCAGTATTCTAATTTTTACATAATTTGATGGTAATTAGATCATATATTGGATGGAATTTCATGACTTTAGCCGTTAAAATATTCTATGCAAATTTTTTCTTACATAAAAGTTATAAAAGATATCATGGAGATAAACAAGAATATGATTGATATTGATAGCATGAAAGCAGTGCAATGTTACACGACTACCGTGTTCTAGTAAGAATTAAATTATAATATGTATGTTAACTATATTGCAGTGATTCATTTGTGATGGTTGAGGTCTACTTGAGTAATCTCCGAAATGCAGTAAATGCAGAGGAAGTTGCACAGCAGATTTGCTCCATAGTGGAAGCTAGCGATATCTATGCATTCGCTCAATTTCTGGCGGAACCGTCGGTGACAGCATTGCAAAACGATTCAGATTATTTCAAATATTACAATTTGCTGTATCTTTTTGCCTATGGCAAGTCAAATTTATCAATATATTAGGTGTAGGGAAAATTTTATATGAATTTTAACGGAGAAATTTATCGTCTCTATACGAATTTAACGGGGAAATATGCGAAATATAAATATCTGTTCGAGACGATAAATTTATCATGAATGTAGGATCAGTGAGGCAGAGGCTGGCTAAGAGATAATCGATAGAATTGATGAGACGTTCGAAGCCTTGAAAACTTAACACATCTAGATTAAATTTAGTAGTATGTTAATAGTCAGTGACTTGCATACTTATGTAAGTCATTTAAATAAACTATCGCATGATGGTAACATCGCCTTCGAACGAATAGATACCTGAATAACTATTTGTCATTGGTTCAGTCTCAGTTAACAACTTCTCAAATAGTTTGTATGGCAAATTTTTATGACTGTAGAGAATCGTGGTTTTATTCCATTGATTCACTGCCTATTTCTCTTCTCTATACGAAGCAAAGAGATGAGGTAAACATTCAAGAAATTGATTTAAATGATTTAACTAATGTCATTTTTATTAAAATAATGCATTGAGCAAACAAAGTTACGTTTTTAGGGACGTATAAAGATTCTGTTGCGCGTAAGGATGATTTGCCCGGACTGAATGAGACAATGATACTGAAATTACGGCAATTAACATTGGTAACAATGTGCAATCGTTCAAAAATTTTCTCAATAGAAGATGCGATGCGTGAACTGCAAATCACCGATTTGCAACAATTTCAGCGTCTTTTCATTTCTGCCGTATATGATGGTATTATTCAGGTTCTTTATTTTTTATTTTTTCAATGACCTAATAATAGACATAACAGTGTTCTTAGCAGTTTCAGTAGACAGATCGCTATTAGAAGAGTTTGAGATGCTAGTAAGCTCATTCCTTACTGTGTCGCCCTCTATCACTGTAATTTTGTTTCTGTAGATTGAATACTCATAAAATAAGAAAGGTAGAATCAACATAAACAGGTTTTTTTGAATTATTTCCCATTTTGTCTGGAGATCCTGTGCTGTTGCTAGAACTGAACTTCACAGGGCCGATTGAACGCTAAAAGAGGTGAAGTCGAGGTTTTTTCATGGAAAAATCGGGACATTTCCGATGAAGAATTGGACAATATTTGTCAAGAATTACACAAATGGATACAGCGATGTACCGATATCAAAGAGAATTTAAGTCATGTGGCGAAACTTACTGAAAAAGCTATTGGAGAAGCAAATGAACGTGAGAATAAGGTAATTTTTTTAAATCTTGATCGGCAACAAGTGTGTACTTTTGTAGTGCATCAAACAAAACGCCCTAATTGGATGCTTCGTAGAAATCTTGGATATTAAAAATAACCTGATTTGGACAGATCTTCTCTTAATCTTAATTGCTAGCCATCTGTTGCTGGGGAACTTTGTTCACTAATATATCATAATGAAAAATGTGAAACGAATCTTCGCAGTTTAAACTATTTTGTGTAAGATGACATATCGGTGCCGAAGATGAAATGTGTAGTTTTTATGAGCGATAGGATCTTAGTTTCAAAGCTCATTATTCATATTCTAACTCAAGAAAATTAATATAGTATAGCCGGCGTCAAATTAGGAAGGCTGATTCAGTCATTAGATGTTTTAGTGCACTGAACAGGGAACAGAGAAGTCGATTACTTCACATGCATCTAAAGTAACATCTCAGTCGCTTTTACTACAGCTTAATTTCTTTGTTGTGCAGGTTGCGGAAGAAGCAAAGAAAGTGCAGAAAATGCTTGAGGAAGAAGAAGAACAACGAATGCCCAAAGAGTTTTATCGGCGTACAAAAACTCAACGCGGGAAAAAGCACTGTTAGATTTGAAGTTATACCCATCCATGTAAAATGTATGTATTTTTGATGTAAATATAAAAGTAAGCAGAAAATCAGAGACAGATTTATGTGATTGTCATGAAACATCCCTTCAGTCTCCCATTCTTGATAAGCACCACACGCTTCAACTTCCATTTCAAAATTTGTTGCATTCCGTGTTCAAAGTGTTTTGATGATAATTGTTTCTAGTTTATGTTTTGCTGAAGAAATTCTAATAAATTATTTATCACATGCTAAATGATATGTGAGAAATACTGCACAAATCTGTACGAAGTCATGATTTTTCTGATAATGAAACCAGAAGATATTTCTCCATTTCCTGAAAATATCCTATATTCTTCAATTGTT